GTAACGGTAATAGAACAAGCTATAGAGACAGACTAGAAAAATTATATACGTTTATGTAAAATTTTATTTCCTTTTCACAGACCAATTAGCTTGAAGAAATAAAAAATCTTAAGACATCATTGTGATAATTTTTTGATAATCTATTTAAGTTATTTTGCACGACTTTGATCATTTTTTAACAGAACAGTTGTTATTCATTTTTGCGAAAAATTTTTAATAAAAAATGTACACTAAATTGAAGACTGAATTTGATGTTTCTATGTTTTTCACTCGCAAAATCGATTACCTCCAATCACACCAAAATAATAATAATAATAATAATTTTAAATCTTCTGAAACCGTGTTGTCTTATTTCTTTGATTCGCTAACACAAGGTGTGTTTCTATTTCAACACTTGACGGTATTCCATCTTTATTTAGTTGATACGGTTATAAGAACAATAAAACGTTTCGGACACTGCCCCTCCTCAAACAACTAAATATCAAAATATTATACATAAATTCATTTTTCTATCATAGCTTAACATAGAAATTATTTTAATATTAAATCAATAATTCTTTTCGCGTGACGTACCATAAACACTTTTTCAGCACAGAAAGCATATACATTCACAGGACTGGCGTAGTATTATATATTCGGTTTTGATCTGGAGCGTTTGTACAAATTTTATGAATTTGCATTTTATTTTACATATTATATAAATCTATAAGTTTTTCCACTTACTATTACATACCTTAAAATTCCAGATGTTCCTTTTACAATGATATGTTTAAAATCTTTGTATATAAGTAAAACAGATTTTACAAGCGGTAATTTTACTCGCTCCTAATTTACAGACAAATAATCAATATGAATTATGTAACAAAAGGTAGTTTACCAATACATAAATTTGTTAAATGTATCTATATATATATATCGAAGTGTTTTTGCAATTCCTTTTTTCAGTAGCATTTTAAAAAACTGCGGGAGCACCTTCGGGGCCATACGCGCCCGCATAGCTCGCTTATCGCTTAATCCGCTGTTCAGGTATACACCGCATATGCATACCACTATAAAGCAAAAATTGATTTCAGAATTTCTGACGCCTTTTACAACCTCGAGACAGATTTTATTCGGGAGTTACTATTTTCAATTTAGTAATTTTAAAAAAATCCTTGGGCAGATTTATTTTTGTTACAAAATGTTTCCTTTACAGATTTCTAGCTGTGCACACTGTAGAGAAATCTAGAAATACAGTTTTGTATATCATAATAATATTAGTAGTTGCCAGAAAGCTCTATAAAGTAGAGAAAAATATGTAAATTTGAAAACTATAAACATAAATTTCTCAAAAAATAAATTAAAAAATATCAAAAGTCACTACTTTTGGCTGATTTGTCTGAGATCTCCACTACCTCACTACGTCCCTCTAAAAGTCGCCACAGTTGGAAACACTGGTGAGTAGATATCTAGGGTCTAAGTAAGGCAAAATGTAATCGCCAAAACGCGCTGTAGAAAAACGATACAACAGCTCCGATTTGGCTTCTAAATTCAAGATACATTTACAAAAGCGCATGAAAGATCGCCGAAGAAATGAGTTGAGTGGCGTTTTATGCTACCTACAAAATCCACATAGTGACAATTTGGCTGACGATGATGAAATAAAGCGTACATTTTCAAGTCCGAGCAAAGTCCTGATAAAAAATCAAATTGTTTCATTAATTGAGATATTAAATGGTGAAAAAATGATGAAGATTAAAATGAAATATGGAAGTTGAGCCACAGAAAAAAGTGATTTGATGCTCAAAGAAAAGCTTCAGCTGGAAATAGAAAACAGCATGAAAATGATTTTTCCAAAATTGTTAAGAAAGAAATGAACCTGTATGAGTCTTCAAATTCTACTCAGAGCTATAACCTAGAGCGGGCTTATAAGTATTTACTAACAATTCTTCCAACTTCCATTGAACCTTAATGCACTTTCTCAGCAGTTGCATATAGGTGCAACAAATTCAGAAGCAGACTTGGTGATGAGACACTGGACGTGTTGTTATTTCTCAGATCAAATTTTTGCAATTCAAATTAGAATGTTCCTATTAGATTAGCTTTCTTTATATTGAAGAAAAATGTAACTGATTAATATTATTTTAAAATACTTTTTGCTAAGAAACTTACTTTACTAGGTTATTACATGAAAGTAGTCTATTTAGTCAATGTTAAGAGATTTTTGTTAATTTTTAACGTTTATTTGCATAGTTTATTACATAAAGGTTTTTTCAATTTATGTAAATTTAAAGAGATCTCAGTGATGCTTGAAAAAGAATAACTTAAACATGAAGACTGAGTGATTTTAAGTCTGGTTAGTCTGACTCTAAG